ATACACCACATTAATAAAGGATGAGAACCATATGATCCTCTCAATAGATGTAGAAAAAGCATTTGACAAAGTACAGCATCGATTCTTGACTAAAACCCTCAACAAAGTAGGGATAGAGGGAACATACCTCAATATCATAAAGGCCATATGCAAAAGACCCACAGCTAATATAATCCTCAATGGGGAAAAACTGAGAGCTTTTCCTCTGCTGTCAGGAGGAAGACAGGGATGTCCACTCTCACTGCTGTTGTCTAACATAGTATTGGAAGTCCTAACCTCAGCAATAAGACAACAAAAAGAAATAAAAGACATCTAAATCAGCAAGGAAGAAGCCAAACTTTGACTATTCACAGACATGATACTCTATGTAAAAAACCTGAAATCCTTCACCAGAAAATTTCTAGAACTGATACACAAATTCAGTAAAGTCACAGGATACAATATTAACATACAGAAATCTGTTGCATTTCTATACATTAATAATGAAGCAGCAGAAAGAGAAATCAGGGAATTGATCCCCTAGGTATCCCATTCCTAGGGGTGCAGAGACCCGCCGGCAGGTGCAGAGATCCACCGGCCTCACAACACCCAGGACAAGCCTCGAAGATTGACTGCTGTGAAGTCAATGATCATCTGCATTGTGCATTTGAGGAAATAGGCTCAGAGGGGCTGAGGTCCCCCTGCTCATGAACGGCAAAGTCAGATTTCAAGCCCCGATGCTGAAGTTACAGATACATTCAATTTTATGGCATGAATGTAAATGTGTTACACAGAGTCATGTTTTATAAACAGTTGCATGTACCTAAGGTTTCTATATGTGAAAATGTGGCTAATGCACTTACAATGGGAATCAGGAAACTGCTTTTATGTTTTACATGGAACTGAATTCAAATAATGTATTTTCGGGGAGGGGGAAGACTTCGAGTTCTGGTCAATATCACAAAGTTTAATTCTATTAAATAGAAGCCATTTCTTGGCCAGTGACACCTGGTCGTGAGGAGAGGGGACTTGCCTTTCCCACATGCTTAATAGATGTTGGGCACTGTCTGAAGGATAGATGTATAGTTGTATTTGAAGCTTGGAGAAACCACACGGATAAAGTAAAGATCTTACACTCTGCTCATGAGAAAAAAAAAAAAAAGATACCTCGGAATAAACCTAACCAAAGACGTAAAAGATCTGTACTCTGAAAACTATGGAACGCTTATGAAAGAAATTGGAGATGACACAAAGAAATGGAAATACATCCCATACTCATGAATTGAAGAACAAATAGTATTAAAATGTCTATGCCACCTAAAGTAATCTACACATTTAATGCAATCCCTATCAAAATACCACCAGTATTTTTCTCAGAACTTGAATATTTGTATGGACCCACAAAAGATCCCAAATAGCCAAAGCAATCTTGAAAAAGAAAAGCAAAGATGGAGACATTACAATTCTGGACTTCAAGCTGTATTATAAAGCTGCAGTCATCAAGATTGTATGGTACTGGCTCAAAAACAGATGCATAGATCAATGGAACAAAATAGAAAACCCAGAAATGGACCCACAACTCTATGGGGAAGTAATCTTTGACAAAATAGGAAAGAATGTCCAATGGGAAAAAGACAGTTTCTTCAACAAATGGTTGGGAAAACTGGATGATCACTTGTAAGAGAATGAAACCAGACCTCTTCTTACACCATACATGAAAACAAATTCAAAATGGATGAAAGATCTAAATGTGAGACAGGAAACCATCAAAATCCTAGACAACATGGGGAGTAACTTTGATCTTGGCTATAGCAACTTCCTACTAGATATAACACCTGAGGCAAGGGAAACCAAAGCAAAAATGAGTAATTGGGACTTCAAAAACTAAAAGGCAGCCTATCGAATGGGAGAAGGTATTTGCAAACAACATATCTAATAAAGAGTATCCAAAATCCATAAAGAACTTATAAAACCCCCCAAAAAACAAATAATCCAGTGTAGAAATGGGTGGAAGTTATGAATGGACATACAGGAAGACTAACAGACACATGAAAAGATGCTCAACATCACGCATCACCAGGGAAATACAAATCAAAACTACAATGAGATACTACCTCACACCTGTCAGAAGGACTAAAATTAACAAGGAAACAACAGGTGTTATAAGATGTGGAGAAAGGAGAACCTTCTTACACACTTGGTGGGGATGCTAGCTAGTGCAGCCACTCTAGAAAACAGTATGGAGGTTCCTCAAAGAGTTAAAAATAGAGGTGCAGCTGGGTCGTTCAGTTGGTCAGGCGTCTGAATCTTGATTTCGACTCAGATCATGATCTCAAAGTTGTGGTATCAAGCACCTCATCAGGCTCTGTGCTGGGAATGGAGTCTGCTTGGGATTCTCTCTCCCCCTCTCCTTCTGCCCCTCCTCACTCTGCCCTAGCTCTAAGAAAAAAAAAGAAAAAAGAAAAGAAAGTTATGTATAGCTTCTCAAATACTGAAAGAAAAGAACTGTCAATTCTCTTCATGAATTTTCTGAATTATACATGGTGATTAAAATAAGATTTATAATACCATCTGATCTTCAAGACAATGATGTTCTAAAATAAGGAAAATAAAGGGACCTAACTGGAAGTAAGGTCCCTCTACTTCACTCAAAGTGGTAAAATGTTAATACCAATAGGCTTGATACATATGCAATATGTATATTGTAATACCTAGGAAAACCACTATGAACACTACACAAAACAGTATATCCAAAGTGCTATAAATAAGTCAAGATGAAATTCTGAAAAAAAAATGGCCAAGTAACCTAAAGGAAGTTAAGAAAAGCACAAGAATCCAATGGAAAACAAATAATAAATAAATAACCTAAACGTATCAATAATTACTTACATGTAAATGATCTAAACACATTTATTAAAAGGCAGAAATTGACAGAATAATTGTTTTAAGAAGTATGACCCAATAATATGCTGTGGAATATGCTGTTTACAATAAACTCATTTCAAATTCAATGATAAGTAAGTTGAAAGTATAAGGATGGAAAAAAGATATGCTATGCAAACATTACTTTTTTGAAAGGCAGGAGCATGAATGTCCATGTAGAAAATCTGAAAGAATTAACAAAAATTCCTCTTTATGTTAGGAACACAACAAAACTAGATTTCTCAGTCTTAAATGTAGTCATATGACTGAATTTGACCAATAGAATGTGAATAGAAGAGATAACCACTACTTTTGGTATTGGTCAATAAAAACCCTCTAGATGCCACACTCCACTTTCTTTCCTTCTCCAGTGGCTTGCTGAAGAAGAGCATGATAACCTTGGATATCACTTTCGAAGACAGAAAAAGAAAAAGAGAGAAGAGCTTGTGACCCTGAACCACCATTCATAGGACAACTGATCATGAGAACCCATTTCTGGAATTTATATCAGTGAAAAATAAATGCTTTTATTTTTTATTTTTTTTATTTTTATTTTTATAAATTAATTTTTATTGGTGTTCAATTTACCAACATACAGAATAACACCCAGTGCTCATCCCGTCAAGTGTCCCCCTCCGTGCCCGTCACCCATTCACCCCCACCCCCCGCCCTCCTCCCCTTCCACCACCCCTAGTTCATTTCCCAGAGTTAGAAGTCTTTATGTTCTGTGTCCCTTTCTGATATCTCCCACACATTTCTTCTCCCTTCCCTTATATTCCCCTTCACTATTGCTTTTAATAAGCTATGGAGATGTGGGGCAGCCAGGACTTCTTAACTCATATAGTCATGCTTGGCAGGTCCTTAGATATTGAGGCCAATACACTTTTCAAGAACATTTGGCTAAGAATAAATAGTTTAGAAAAAATAAGGGGAGGGCAACCATAAGAAACAGAGACAAGAAATTGAAATAATCCCAGGTAAGGTAAATACATAAATATATTCCGGAAAAAAGCTAATGCTTGTAGAACCCACATTAACTGATTTTTAGCCATCTACACATGATGTATTACATGAGTTTATTTCATGCTTTTTATCATTTATCAAGATTTATTTGCATTCCTTTTATTAAAGGAAAAATCTTATAAGCAAGAAGTTGTTCAGGAAAAATACTGCTTATCCTGACACTGAAGTTAGGGAGATTTTTCTTCTCTGTGTTCTGATAGAGGGGGCAGTGAAGAAGGAAATACCTTCTATAGTAACCTTACAGCAAACACTGCCATGACTCAAAGATCATTAAACTTCACAACTGAAACACCATAAGAAAAGGAATAGTAAATGTAGATAGACAACCCCCCCTTTGTTTCTTATTCTTTATTTACTTTTCTCAGAAATCTTAAAAAACAACCAAAATAGTTTCCTCAGGTATCAATCTATTGAGAAAGAAATAAGATGGAAAGTTTGATTGTAATCAGTTTTCTCAGTGGTATCTATGCAGTTGTAGGACAGTTGTGACTCATTACCAAATATGAGGACTGTCTCCAAATTTCTGAAAATTTCCAGAACATGGAAGCAGACACAAACACAACTGCTCATTGGAAAATATACATGCAGCTTTCTTCTGGGTTTCAGAGTAAGAAGGCTGCTGAAAAAGAACCATTTAAATTTGACATACAGAACAACTTTAGCTATAAAGTAGTTGAAGAAGATAATTTGAGACTAGATAATTGCTCTCAGTGTAAACATAAGTGCATTAAATTTTTAAAAGCAAATTTGAATAACATAAAAATATAGCATCATTGTAAAATAAAAATCCCAACATTTTCTGTTTATACAGTAAAGATTTGAGTTGGGCTTCAATTCCCAGCATAATGTGTAAAAGCATTTCCCCTTTTATACCTCCTTTATCCTTATTTTAACATTTTCCTCATGATTTGATGAATTATGATATATGAAACATGGTATTTTTCATGCCCACAAGGGGGACCCTTTGCAACAGCTTATACTGCACAGATCTTGCTGCTAATACACCATATGACTAAATGCATGATCTGCCATAAAGTGCTAGAAAGTCAAGCCGTCTCTCCTCTCTTTGCCCTCACCTGTGAGTCCAGGTGGACAGATACAAACATAACCTGAGGCTTCAGGGTGACTGAACGAAGAAGGCAGCTGAGCAAGGTGTCCATATGGTTTCTCTGGGGACAGCTCTATGCATGTCCCACCAGATTGGCAAGGGTTCCCGTTGCATTCGTTGATGTGAGTCTCACATTGGGCACCTGTGTATCCTGCAGGATAAAAGTTCAGAGAAGCAGCTGAGTCAAAGTCATAAACCAGAGTTTATGCCTGAAAGGAGACTGACCATTGGGCTGGCACCAATTAACAAGACGATGTGCTGCCCTCAAGTTGCTAGCAAGGAGAATCTGGGAAGGGAAAGTTTCCTTGAAAACAGCAGCAGCAAAAGAATCACTTGTACAATAGTGACCATTATTTTTAAAAACATTTGATTAATATTTTGATTAATGTAATGGGACTTCAGGATAACCTTGATTTCCTGATTATTTTAAAGATTCCATTTCCTCAATACCCCATTTGAGTATTTCCTCATATACTCCAACTGAATTTTTAGCAAGAACAAAATATTTTTTTTAAGAAAACAGCCAAAAAGAAAAAAAAGAAAAAGAAAATAGCCAAAAAGACAGCAGAAACTACATAGCCAACCCTAAATTCTTTTCTTAGGGCAAAGCAAAGGTAAATGATTATTTCTTCACACTGAATAAAATAGAATAAAAAATTATTTTGTATTTGAGTGGATTTAGCTGGGTCATTTTATTGAGGACAAAAATAAAAATGAAACATGAATGATTTAGTGCTTTATTAAAAGTTGTAAATATTAGATATAAAGGATAGTCCATGCCAGAACTATTTCTCCGGTTTTACACACACATGCACCTCTTAAAGTATGTATGTGTGTGTATATAGATATATATACACTGATAAGCCCCTCTGGAGTAGTTGTACCATCTACATACGTACTAGCACTGGATGAATGTGCATATGGCTCCAAAACCTTGGCAACACTTGCTGTCACCAAATAAAATGTTTTAGCAGTTGGTTAGATTAAAAAAAAAAAAAAGTACTTCATTGTTGTTTGAGTTTACATTTTCCCCAATTACTACTGACTTTAACATGTTTTTGGATTTTTAAAAATCATTTCATTCTTTTTCCTGTTTTTTCCCCATTAGACTGTCTTTCTGATTGATTTATAAGATTATTTATATAGCACTATACATACATAAGCTGATACATGTAGTTTTAAAGGACATAATTTAAAATACAAATGACTTCACAGTCAACTAAAGATCTTTGCAATGTCCCTTAACTCTGCTGAGAGATACATGTTTAAAATGAAATTTACAATCCAAAATGATAAAACTTATGAATCTGACCATGATATTTCTTTACTTTAAAATCATTCCATGGCTTCTGCTCTCATACAAATTAAAATTCAAAAGTCTTAACCTGGGGCACCTGGATTGCTCAGTGGTTGAGCCTTCAGCTCAGTGGTTGAGCCTTCAGCTCAGGTAGTAATCCCGGCATTCTGGGATCAAGTCCCATGTCGGGCTCCCTGTAGGGAGCCTGCTTCTCCCTCTGCCTATGTCTCTGCCTCTCTGTCTGTGTCTCTCATGAATAAATAAATAAAATCTTAAAAAAAAATCCTTAACCAAAAATGCCCTTTATTTAATCTGGCCCCTTTCCCATTTCTACATTCCTTCCCTAGAATGTTTTCTCCCCCAGGGCCTTCATGACAGGGTTCCCTCTCTTAGACTATGCTCCTCCTCCTCCAAGACTGTGCTTGGCTAAGTCTTGCTTTTGAGACTTAATCTTGTATGACTTTCTCCAAATGGCTTTTCCTCATGAACAGATCTGAAGATTCTTTTGTTTTCTCTCATATCACCCAGTTATTTCTTTTATTGCTCTTATAATAATTTTTATTATTTTTGTTATTATGTTTATAGGCAGTGTTTCCCTCAATAGACTATAAGTTCCACAAAAGCAGGGATGCTTTTTTTTTTCTTTCATTCACTACTCCAATACTGAGCAATGCATAAATAGTAGACTTTCAATCAATAGCTGAATGAGATTCAAAGAGTAATAATCAACAATTTAGATTACAATTATAGTTTAAGCAAGTAAATTGGAGAATTGACCATTAATAAGCAAATGATGAGAACATGATATTACTCATTTTGTAATTTTATTAAAAACCTGAATGGGGTCGTATGTCAAATCATAAGCACAACATAAATTCTGTTGCTCAACAGTATAATACATTTGTCACATATGACCCATGAGGTCTTTCTCAGCCATCTAAGAAGAAACTTGCAGATGAAGAAGGAAACTCAAAGCACATGTCAGATCAAATCCCATGATGCTTTGTGGTGACACCCCCACCACTGCCACCAAGAACTCAAGTTTCTTAAACCCAAATATCTACTTTTTCACAAGTTTTTATCAAGTGGTATTCATGGTGCTACACTGAACTTATTGAAGAAAGCTCCAACTACTTTCCATTTTTTTTCTCAGTTTAAGTCTCAAGACTCATACACAGGCCAGGTTAGGAAGTAATTTAAAACCTTCATAAATCCTTTTCTGGTTCCTGACTCATGCATTATCCTATTCCTATAGCGAACATTAGGGAGGTTCTGATTTATGGTCTTCCCGGTCCTGTCCCTACCACAGGGGCCCTGTGGGAATTTTGTTTGCTGTTCCCTTTAACCGTGTATATAAATAGACTCCTTTGGTCAAGGCTGTATTCAATAGTTTTAACAAGTTTTTCTATAAAACTTTGTATAAAGAAACAATGTGATATTGAGTCAAGTCCCCAGGGTTCTTAACATTTTCTTTCTTTCTTTTTTTTTAACCAATCCAATCTTACCTGGATAACAAGAAAACTTTTAAGAGAAGCATTTAAGATGACTGACACTTCTCGTAATTAATTACTTTTGAAATGAGGACCCCAGGCAATTACAGTGGTAGATTCTTGCCATTGTCTTCAGTCATTGGTGGTCTTGCAATCCAAAGGAATGGGGTCTTAGATACAGGGTAGTTTGTAGCATTAAATCTTCTCTTTACATATAACAGTAAGAATAGGATACAAAGACATTCTGAAATTTTCCTTCTAGGCAAAAACACCATCAACCGGTAACTCGTGAAAGAAACTCAAGCAGACCTGTCCTTATTCTGTGCCCCTCTGTTAATTCCCACATCACATCTGCCTCCTAAATGAGTCTCATGGCTGTCCATTCCCTTATCCCCGCCCTTAACACTGCAGTCACAGTTCAGGCGAATAGTCTTATCTCTTGTTTCCACTGCAGAACTTTTTTTTTTTTAACTAGATTCTCTGCCTTTTGTTTTATTCTCTTCAGTCATCTTCCACTAAAGTGCCAGATGGTTCTTTCTAAACCAACAGGTCAGATTATGCTACCTCTCCTCCCCTTAGTGTGCAGGGCAGACAAACAGCATTGTGATCTGACTTGGGTCTTGTCTTATTCCCCAGCCTCAACTCTCTACCACCCACCCTATGTAGTCCAGCATCTTGGAACAGTCACTCAAAGCTCTACAGCTGGATATGCTCTTTTCCATGTGTGTCTACAGCCCTTTCTTCCTTCTGTCCTCCTTTCCCTTCTTCTCTTCTTGCCCTAAAAAATTTATGTGCTATGTGATAGCCATAGGGTCTAGGATAGTCAGTCTCTTAATTTTGGTACCTAGTTAACATTTATTGAGTGCTTACTATGGTCTAGGCTGACCTAGGAACTTTATATATATTACTGGATCTCTCTAAAGCAACTCTGTGAGGTGGATATTACCTCCTTTGCTTTATAGATGGGGAAATTGAGGCTCTGAGCAGTAAAGTAACTTGTCCAAAGTCACACAGTTAGTGAGTACAGTTCTGAGATATGCTTAGTGATCTTTCAAATTTTCTAAAATGGTGCCTACTGGGTCAGGCCATCTCTGTACTTCTTCTCCCCTTATTTCCTGTTACAGAATTTATTATAGTTTTTCATTGTACCAAAATTGTACTATGCATATTTTTTTACACTGTCTCTCTACTAGAATTTAAATTCCTGGGAAGAAGGGATCATGTCTTTTTGATTCTCAGACCCCTGATGTATATAATTGACATTGAATTCCATGTGACTTAAATGATTGAATCCATGAATGAATGGAACACATATTAATTCGTCTTTTTTAGGTAGGTCTTCTTAACTGCCTAACTTCATTATAACCCCTCTAGAGAATAAAAACCATCTCATGTGTAATTCCTACCTCCTGTTGTAGAAACTGGTATGTAATAACAGTTGCTTTTTTTTTGAGTACCTAATATGCTCCAGGCTTTATTTTTGTAATTTTATTCTTCATAATAATACAAGTTATTTTTTCATCCTTCATTTGCAGATAAAGAACTTAAGAATTAAGAAGTAACCACCCTAGTTCACTCAGTTAATAAGTGATGGATTTGTTCTATTCCCAAACTGCCCACTCCACCCATTTCCAGATAGAGATCCTGTACAGAGCATTGATTGAATGTTGAGTGCTGATTGATGACAGGAATGTGAAAAAACACATTTTGGAAAATTTTCAGTATTTAAGTCAAGCCAATAAGCAAAGGATAACCAGCATGCCCTATTCATTATCTGGAAGTGGGTAGGCACATGACTTACAAATATCTCTGAGCCACAGAATTCCAAATTTCCTTTTACACTTTCACATTTGCTTGTTTGTTTTTTACCTACAAAATATATGTAACCAACGCATGCTGAATGTCCCACAGGCAATAAGATGCCTTTCAATCCAAAGCTACTAACAATTGGATTGACCTCAGGCCCCATTTTTCCTCCCCAAACACGGGATTATTTTTCCTCTGGACAGTGAAATGAAAGAGAGAAGGGGGTAGATGATAAGTAAGCTTATAACAACTAGATTTTAAATAATCATAAGTTTATCATTTTTTTCCAGTGTACCATGAAAGAAGAGACATGCTCTTTTATTTCTACCCATTAAATCCTAATGAGAATTAGATAAAAATATGGCAGGCTTTTTGCCAAAATTCACATCAATATTTACAGGTACAGGTGACTTGATGACTCAAATATTATATAATATTTTCTACTGATTCTGGCATTACCTCTACACTCCAGTCTAATTACCCTTCATGTGTAATTTTTAGTTGTGTATATAATGTATATTTATGTATATTAAACATATATATATTATATATATTAAACTTGTAATCTCATTTATATTTTTAATGCCTAGGAGAATACACTGATTTCTGGAATATCATTCTATATCCTCTATGGGGACCATCATAACTATGTTGACTGGCTCAATGACTTATAACACAATCTCCTAGGATTTTAATATTGTTTCATGGGTTTCAATATATTCTAGTTATCACAGAAAACATCTTGGAAGAAAAGGAAGCATCTGCAAGTGAATTTTTCTCCATGAAGACCATGCTGAAATTGATTCTTCAATTCATTTTTCCCCTCTGTTTCTTCTAGAAAGTTCTGAAGATCGGGCAGTTTAGTAACCTACTTTAGATAATACATAGTACACCAATAGGTATGTGTGAGCAATGAAGAATACAATTAAATTAAACAATGATAAGTAGAAGAGTTGGTTTTAAACCTTTAACAACAAGAATTTTTAGTTTATATTTGCTATAAGTGATTTGTTTCTATTCTAAGCAAAAAAAAAAAAAAAATTGGAAGAAACTTTGCCACTTACCAGGCCAGCAGTGACAAGTGTAATTGTCAGCACTGTCTTCACATGTAGCATTATTATGACAGGGTTCTGACCAACATAGAGGCATCAGGGTCTCACAATGTGTCCCGGTGAATCCACTACCCGTGCAGTTACAGCTATAGCTGGAGAGTAAAATGAAATTTTCACATCAACTTTTGGTCATATTGAGATCAAATACCTTTATTATGTCTCTTCCTCTCTCCATCAATCTGAGACCCAAGACATGGTTTTAATACTTATCTCAAAAATTCTGGGGAATTATCTCTATAAGCCTGAAAATATTATGTATTTCCACACTAATATATGGTTATCTTTTAAAATTTATAGTATGGCTTCATGCAAAATTATTGGGAAACCATGATTATTTACTTCAGTTTTCTCATCCATAAATTGAGAATAATAATACCTATGTCAAGGGTTATTGTGATAATTAAATGTGTATATACAGAATAGACACAGTATCTGAAGCATCAGAAAATGCTGACTAAATTACTACCAAGTAGTACTAAATAAAGTTGTTAATATTTGGAAGGCAGTAAAGAATGATTTATACCACTGTGCCATTCTTTTTATATACAGTCCATTAATAAGGTCCCTTATGAAAAATGAAACAATAAATTATTTAAAAAACAGGAAAAGCCCTCATTTATATGGATTGTGACTTATGTTCTCTTATGTTTAGATTACAGAAATATTTGAGTCCTGTTATTTCTAAACATTCATTGGTTGGGTGAGATTATCTGACACTCAAAACACAAATCTGATAGAGAGACTTGTTGATTTTATCAGGAGGAGGCTTTTAATTTAGATGGGATCTCAAGGATTTAGTATTGTAAAAATGTGAGCTTGCACACTTGACCCAGATAAAATGAAGGTCTGGTCATTGAAAGAACACCTATGATTTTATAGAGTTGGAATCCTGTTCACTATGGCTTATGTGCATATTTATCACCAAACACAGATATTAATATTTCACTAAAGGAAACTGAAATATTAGCAAGTATAATATATTATTATAATTTTTATATATATTTCCAGTGAGAAATCCTCTTACTAATTAAAAATATTTACTAAAAAGCTACTACATATAAGACATTAAGGAGAAGAACCATGTACTTAAGGCTGGCCAGTGGGCCTCAATTCCTAGAATTAGAAACTCTCTTTGCATATTCCTTTGGTCTACAAGAACCTTGTGTGTGTGTGTGTGTGTGTGTGTGTGTGTGTGTGTGTGTGTGGTGTGTGTGTGTAGTTTCTGACTTTCCATTAGCCTCACAGCAAATTTGTTAATTTTTTTGTTGTGGGGAATTAAAATTAAGTTGTATTTGTTGACCTTGTGATTATCTTCTCAATCTTCTTAGGTGGTAAGAAAGATAATCTTACCTTCTTAGGTGGTAAGAAAGATAAAGGTAAAATAGAGAAATTATTCATGGTACATTAGTGGAAGAAATGAAAGGTGGCGGGAGTTAGCCTTGTTCTGCTTGCATTTCCATAGGAAGCAAAAGCTTTGTGTATTTTCTGTCCTGATGCTTTCTAGAGACAGCAAAGCATTGATGGGAGGACCTCCTGCTCTTCCTCTGGAGTGCCTGTTTGGAAGCTGCATGTTGGCCAGTAATCTGCCTTCAGGAATGTATATTCTTGCCCCTGGAGAATGATTTGGTTAAAACTGAAAGTCAGAGGCAAGATGTGGAATGTGGTTAAAAGTTAGGCTTTGTAGGTTACAAAAGAAATATACAACTACATTGTTCTATTTATTTTTTTTAAAAAAATATTTATTTATTTATTTGAGAGAGGGGGGAGGGGGCAGGAGGAGAGGGAGGGAATCTTAAGCAGACCTCACACTCAGTGTGGAGCCTGACTCAGAGCTCAAACCCACGACTCTGAGATCACAACCTGAGCTGAAACCAAGAGTCAGTCACTTATCCCAGGCAGCCCACCTTGTTCTATTTAAAACTACATCATTTTGCTGGATATAGTTGAAGTACCTGTGCCTTTTACTGCTGTTCCTCTTTTGAGTCCGATTCTCTTTGAAACTCAGATTTGGGATCAATTCAGTCTTACTTACTAAATAAAGGAGAATTGGATTCTAATCCTTCCTTTGTGAAGAATTAGCTGTGTGAACTTGTGGGAATCACCTAACTTCCCTGAACTTTAGACGCCTTAATGTAATGGGAAAATATTAATGCTCATCTTACCTTCCACTGAGCTGTTGGAAGATCCAACAAGACATTAAGTACTAATGCTGTTCAAATTGTTATGCACTTGATAACTCAATATTTATAGTTAAAATAAGTATTAGAGGCACCTGGGTGGCTCAATCGGTTAAAGCATTTGACTTGATCTCAGCTCAGCTCATGATCTCAGGGTCATGAGTTCAAGCACCATGTTGGCTCCACACTGAGTGGAGCCTATTAAAAAAAAAAGGTATCAGAAAGTTCTCTAAAATATTTTTTATGAATTCAACTACCATTACTTAAATGTATTATATAGATTGTATTAAGGTGTCATCTATTCATTTGTTTGTTTATTATTTTACTGAAAAGCCAATGATAGAATCTACTTTGGAGCAGGATCACATGGCTACTTCTCGCCATTATACTCTCTTAAAAGTATATATTGGGAATTCACCCAATTCCCCGAGAGCCTGAAAACTCAAGATACAATCAATTTGATATCACTGCCTTTTCCAACACTGCTCATTTAAAATTCCTAAAGGATTTATTTTCACCCCTTGATTTATATGCTTGGTATTATGTAAATACAACCTAATATTTACAAATAGCCTGATCTCTAGCTTTGTTTTTGCACCTTCCCTATCTACAACAACTGTATTTCATGGAATTAAAAAGCTGGCCCTTTTCTGTACTATACAAGTTCTAAGGGAAGGATTATAAGAGTGACTTGGAAAATCCTCACTCTTGGGGCAAATGATCTCCGAAAGATGCATTTTTAAGTAAAATCTGAAAGGTACTACTTTTGGTCACTTAAAGTGTAAAGCAATGCATACATTTTAAGCTGAGGACATAAGATCTCCAAATTCCGCAGAGTGGTTCTGCAAAAGCTGTTGGTCCGTGAGTTCTCTCCAAGCCAATCACCCAAACATAGGAGATAACGCACCTGTTGTACCCATCTACGCACAGCCCTCCATGGAGGCAGGGCTGACTGGCGCATTCATCAGCGTTGAGCTCACAGTCATAACCTAGGAATCCAGGGCTGCAGTCACAGAAATAAGCCCCCAGAGCATCCTGACAAGTGGCACCGTTTCGGCAGGGCTGGGACTGACATTCATCAACTTCCACTTCACAGTTCACACCTTTGAAGAAAGTCAGCACAGAAGAAAGGAGAAGTTTTAGCACAGCATTAATTCTTTAGCTCCCAGTGCTTAGCCAGTGCTTTATTTACCAAGGCTCTTGTCAAATGTTATGTTACCCAAAATAATTTTCCTCTTTAATTGTAATTGATACTCACTTTTTGGCATGCTTGTGGGAAGTTGCACAATGCAGAGCAGCTGCTACTTACAAAGAACTGTTTCATATAACAGCTTGTGGCTTTTTAGTCGGTTGAGACGAAGCATTTTTAGAACAAAGTCATTGTTAACTGTACTTTTGTTGGAAGCTTAAAAGGGACTGGTCAATGTTTCTAAATTATTTTTAAAAGTTAGTGCGGCATCCTATAGAGAAGTGGGCAAACGCTCACACTCCAAAGCCAAATAAGCTGGGTAGGGATCTAGGTGCAGCCACTTATTAGCTGTGTGACCATGAGCAGTTCCTTAACCTTTCCATACTCAGTGTCTGCACCTGAAAAATGGGACCAGTACTTGTAATTATCTTAAAGGATTATTATTACAATTATAGTGTGTTCTAAAATGCTTGTGATAGTAGGTGGAACACAGCAAATGTCATTAGAAAAAAAACCCAATACTTGTTATACAATATTTATTGTACAAATATAATTACAATTATTTCCTTAAGTGCTCCTTTTGCATGGAATTTATTCACATTTAGATTTTCTATAGTGTTGTAAAATACTATTTTAAAATAGGAAATCAGTTTGTGCCTTAAACCTTATTTAGTTAGTGGCATTACTAGGAGCTACTTCATTTTAAGGTAATGTTACATAAAAAAAATCTTTATGTATTCCCCTCCAAATAGTAAGTGAAGATTATTACCAAACAAAAGAAGGTGAGGTTTACAAACGTACTCACATGGAGATAACAAACTACCCTGCTGAATCTATCAAAGTCATATTTGGTGTACAACAAATTTGCCTACGTTTTTAAAAGATACAAAAGGGGGGATACTTATATTTACTTATCTCTATTTCTATGCCTATAACTCCGGATAATAAATTGTGTATTAAAATGATATTGAAGGATTTTCAAATGACTCAGACGTTGTTAGTAGTTTGATTATGTGTCCCCTTTCCTGACAGAAAAAGCAGTAGAAGAGTCTCACTCTGCTGACCATTTACAACTGTGACTAGATTCTAAGTTGAAAGGAATGCCAGCATGTTAAATTTGATGTTTTTTGAGAAGAAAAAAACTTAAAAGTTAAATTTTATGTTGATAAAAATAGAAAGCTGTGGAACAGTATTTGTTGCAAGGTAAATAGCTTGCTCTTTGAGGCATGGCTATTTTTGACCTGGTCTGGGAATGAGATCAATCATATCTGTTCTACTTGGCATCAGTAAGGTCCAGAGAAGAACACTGAACTGGCCAGCAGATTTGCAATTCTCATTCTCATTCTCTTTCTGAAATGGCTTGTCAGCAATGCTTTATCTCTATTTCTGCCATGCAAAATAATATGATAATAGATATCTCTATTTTCCAAGAATGTACATAAGACAAAAATAGTAAGTTCTTTAAAATACTTTTTCTTATGATTATTTTCTTAACATATATAGCAACTAAAATGATAATGGGTTAGTTTTCAGTACTTACAAGGCACAAAATTACCTCCCCTGAAATGACAATGGTCAATCGTAACTTTAAGCAGAGCATACTATGCCCACCCAGGAATGTTCAGTCAACGTGGGTTTCCATTGTGTTCTCTAACTAGAGGGCAACTGGCACTTACTCTACACCTGCCATATGTAAGGTCAAGGCAAAGTGATTTCACATGCATTCTCCCCTGTGTCTCTTACTCCCCAATGACTGTATTCCTGCAATTCCTCTCACTATGTATTCCCGTTCTTTTGTCTATCCAGTTGTCCATAGAGTCTTTGCCTATATGATATTGAACTATGTCCTTTAGTATTTTAGTCATCTATATTTGCTGGAAAGTATTAACATATAAAGCCAAACCAGTGGTTTAGAACTTGTTAAAATTTTCCTAAATTTTATTTTATAACTCAAATAAAATTCACGTATTCATCTGATATATACCCGGATTACTTCCTAGTGCTGAAGAAATACATTATAAACCATTATTTTAAATTCTGAAGTTCCACTTATATGATGTAGCTCAAAAACTTTAGTTTTAAAGTTACCCTAATATACGTATAAGAATGTATTTCAAGAGTTTAGATGCAATTTCAAATCAGCTAGTTACTTTGGGGTGATTTATGTGCATTGACTTGATAGTACTTAACGATATGATTTTTATTGCAGCTTATTACTGCTGCTGATATAGACAAAAATGATTGGGTCAATGTCTGTGTGATGCCAAAGTAGCCAGATGAAATGTGGTAAGTGCAATCAGTCATCCAGATGTCTTTGTATTTCCAGATGCTGGCTTCAAAGATTAAACATCTGGATAACTAACTATGATTTTCATTTTTCATTTGGATGCTTATTGTTTGCCACATGCTTATATCCATTAAATATACAATTAATCAACCTTCAAAAACACCTGAACTGTGGGGTCAATCTATCTGGAAACATTCATTTTATGCCTCGTGTTAATAAGTACAGCACCATGTTATTATAACTATATATAGTAATAGAAATTGATAGAGTCACAGTGAGTAGCACTTCTGTGGTTGATTGTCTAAGAAATAGAAAATTCATAATTGTAAAATTCTTTCACAAAAACCCACCCAGGGACCCAACCAATCTGTTGGAATTCATTAATAGTTAATAGTATGAAACATAAGAAAATAGAAAGGGTATGGAAAAAAAATAACATAGGACAAAGAGAACTCTGCACCAAAAGAAGAAAGTATAGGACAGGAAAAAAAATTCCTGATGTCATTAGTTTTGGTAACTCACTATAGTGAATACTGTGCTAATATCCACAGAGGCATCCCTACATAAATATAGGTGACCTAAGATGTCAGATCATTAATTCCTGACAGCCAGGGATAGTTTCACTCTGAACTACTCAATTTGCATTAACTGTCAGAAGAAGTTCAGAAATTTTCTCACAGCCAAATACTTAACTAATATCTGCAAGAACTCTGTTTTCAAATAAGGTCACAGTCTGAGGTACTTTGACATAGGGTTCAGAACTTCAACAGAGGAATTTATGTGTTGGGAGAGGTCACAGTTGGATCCTAACAGTCTCCTGCTTGGTTTGTTTTTCTGTCACCATCTTGAAATTCTTAATAATTTTTGAACAGGGTGGGGGGAGTCCCACGTTCTTATTTTGCAGCAGAATCCACAAATTACGGAGCCTCCCTCTGTATAAGCCCTTAATTCCCATTTAAACTTTTTATAACTGATACACATAAATAAGTTCTTTTTTTTCCTGACCCAAAACCTGATTGATACACAGATCTGAGATGGGAAAGATTTGAGTAGAGTATTCAAATGAGCAGAACTGTTCAGTCTGTGGCCCACCTCAGCTGAGAGAGCTAAAGATGTAGCAGAGGGTTAAAGATGTAGCAAAAATGAAGCTGGAGCTGAAGTCTCTGACTCCATAGCCTCATCCTAGGTGAGCTGGGATTTAATACTACCCCAGATAAGTGTTGGGATCCTAGGAGAGATGTTGTCTCCACTTCACTTATAGAACTTTGGAAAGACACCTGGACACACATGATTCCCAAGCCACCATAGTACACAACGGTAGAGCAGAGAGAATTACACAGGATCTGGGTAGATGGAAATTAAATAGTTTTATGAGAATGTTTATTGAAGCATGCAAGGCAGATAAAATGCTTTCTCAAAGGAGTACAACAAGTACTTTTTGTATCATGCTGAATTAGGGAATTATAAGAACTGTATGAGTTATTTATTACTTTCCTTCTTCCCTTTTCATCTGCCATTCATCATGGAAGAGGAGAAGGAACACTACTCAGGTCTAAGCTCCGCTCTGCCATTGCTAATATCAAGGTTGGATTATAGTCAATGCTCAAGGAATGTAGGTATTACCTATAATCTATTTATTCTTTCCTATTCCTTCTTCAATTCCTCAGGGTAGACAGAATAAAAAATTTTTTTAAAAAAAGGCTTTGGAAGCAAACATATTCCTGGAAGGGAATTTGGAAAAGCTTCAAATTCCATTAAAACAAATATAGATGGCATACCGAGAGTACAGGAGCTAGAGGCTGGACAAATTCGGAGCAATCACTATACTAAATATGATTTTTTAAAGGGCTACAATGGACAGATAAGTAGCTAGTGAGCAATAGTAAATATACAGCCCAGATTAGGTAGTAAATATTTGAGGTAGATCAATAGAATTTAATTTAGGAGAAAAGAGTAGACAGTGAGGGGTTTTCCAGAATTGGAGAGCTGCAAGGAAATAATTACAGGTCAAGAACAAGGTTTAGAGAACAATACAGGCACATCAGTAGAACAGCTCTCCACAAAGTCCAGGCTCGCAAGGAGATATCAAAATAGAAAAGGAGCTTTGGACAGTATGTGAATGGAGAAGCCACCTGGTTGATATACTGCTAAAAATGAGGTAAGAATTCAACCAAAGGAAAGGACATTGGAAACTCAAGTTGTGGTGAGAACTTTGGTGGTAAAGCAATTTGGAATGATGAGAGGGTCCAACCTGAAGCCGCATCAGTGTACAGCTGGCTGTAGTGGGATAGAGATGGAGGTCCTTTAAAATAGGAAGCTCAAGAAATTGGAAGAGCATGGTCTATAAAATTCTGTAATAGCTCCTAGCTAAATTTGGATAAAGGCAAAACTTCTCATTTTGACAACTAAAAACCTTGGTAATACTTCCGGTTTCATTTCCTTTCACAATTCTATCATCACTCTATATGCCAATCGTATCAGATTATTTTCTTTTTCTCAAACTCCCCATATAGCCCTACCTTCAAGAGTTTGGATACATCGATTGTGTACAAGTTTCTTGATAATTGTTCTAATCAATACATCTAATCAATACAACATGCTTCAAACAACCCAGGAATATATAATTT